ATTTCCCACAATACAAGTAAGACTATATGGTCTACATTTTCCAGAGTAATTCTTATCTCCCTCTTTACAAATGTGAGTAATATTAGCAACTCTACAATCCTCAAACACTTGTCCTTTGACCTACCAAAAATGTAAGATTTGCATATCTCATCTCCAGCCTTTTAAACTCCTGGGAGAAAACCCTGTCTGGTGCTTTGTTATTCTGCCAATCTCTCCATTTCCACCAGGGGATTAATATCTACATTTTTCAGGTCAATTTCAATATTTCCCATATAATACTTAGGGTTCAGAAATTTTCCTAGCATCTTCTCTTGTAAAAACAGAAAAGAACATCTAAAACTTAGCCATCTCCTAGTCTTCAACAAAAACCTTGTCGTCATCATCATTTAATGACCCAATCCCCATTTTAATATTTTGCTTACCTTTAATGTATTTTTAAAAAATCCTTGCTGTTAGTATTAATATTATCAGTTAGATGTTTGCCATAAGCCCTTTGATTTTTTTTAACCAGATCCCTAGCTTTTCTACAGTTTTATAAATATTGCATGTCAATTTAAAACTAAGTTTATGGCATTTGTTCCTGATTTTCTCCTCTTGTCTTTACTAAGTCAATTAAGATGATTTTCCCTATTATCCTTTTACTCTTTTTTTAGAACCATGTCTCATTTGAATCAATTTTTATCTCACAGCCTCAAAATAGCTTTCTGAAAATCAGGAGCTAAAATTTAATTTATTTTTATCTCAACTTATAACAAAATATCAAACCTAATTAGTATGCAATGATCACACTTCCTCAAATATTTCTGCACGTCAACTCTGTCAACTACATCCCCATTAATGGTTATAAACTTAAAATGGCATCCCATTGGTTAACTTTCTCATTTAATATAAAAACTGTCAAGAATCACTTCAAGAAATCTCTCTTCCACGATATTTGACTTCATTAAATTCCAATTAATGTGTCTAAAGTATCCCTTAATTACTATATCAATATTATTAATAACCATGACCTCAATATACAATTTCACACTGATGTTATCTGTCTAATCAGGTGGCATATAAATTTCCAGTTAAATATTTTCTACGTTTGAAACCCCGGATTTTAATCCATATAGTTTCAACCCTCTTGACTATCCCTTTTTTTGTTTCTTCAGTCCCAACAGACTGCAGTTTATCCCCTTATATAATAAGCCACCCTACTAATTTTTTGATAAGTCTATCAACTTAATACTCATACTGTTGATGCTATGGTCACTTGACCTGCTTGGTATGAAGAAGACTAGCCTGCTGGTGTGCCAGTTCTTGAGAATAATGAACAGGTTAATTCTAGGAAAATAATAATCAGTAGCATACAGTATTAAAATAAATAACCCTTACAATAATTCAGCTCATGCTGTAATAGTTGTCAAACAATTTGCTCACATAAATAGCATTTCAACCACTAATCTGTTGTATCTCAGGGAGGCCTGAAGAGTCTTGGTATTGGTTAAAAGGTCTCATCAGCACTGGATACAGCAGATATAGTGTGGTTGATATACTATTATACACTTTTTTACTTTTATCCAATAATTAAATATTTATGTTAAAATGTTATAACTAAAGTTAAGCTATGTCACAATTTATAGATTAAATTGTAGATAAATCTAACAGTAAAATCCCCTATTAAATGATAATGATATTATTTACTACTACTGAAATGGAGAGTAACTTAAGCTGTTCTTCCAGGAACTTTAAGTCATACAGTGGTTAGGCCTGTGTTAATTTTCAATACATATCAAGGTAAGTTTTATAATATTGTTTTAGCTGAACTGTTAAACTTCTGATTTCAATTATATGCAAAATGTGACTCTTAATGTACTGGGAAACATTATTTTATCTTTGAAAGTGATTTACTGAACTGGATGAAGTATACAAAAAAACAACAAAAAAAACAGAGATTTATTTATACTTTTTATTTTAACTGAATATTTTTAAGTAAAAAAAGTTCTTAAATTCATCTTTATAAAAACTTGTTCTAATTTAAAATCAACTAACTAAATGGAAGAGGTGAAAGAAAAACCATTCAGTACGGAGGTGAAATTCTGCCAGTACTCACTAGATTTCAATACCAGGACTTATTCTATCCACTGTTTGTCCAACTTGCATGCCTTCAATTGTACTCTCAGAAAGCACACACATTATGATTCACAGAATCTAAACAATCAATAATTAATCTCCAAATGATCCAATAGATGGACTAACAACATTAATTCTTGTTGACAACAAGATCATTAGGATAAGTTATTTGGCAGCTTTGATGTCAGTCATTATTAAACCAATCAAACAGTCTCATCTGGCTATATTATTTGTATGATTGATAAATAACAATAAATAATACATCCCTTAAACACCTTTTATTGGCTGATGTGCTGTGATTAGTACCTACTACTGGGTATTTGTAAAAATTATGATTACTGAAAAAAACAAAAACTAAAGACATCTGAGGTATGTTTACAATTAGAAAATGTTTCAATTAGCAGCCAGTTTACTATGTATTTGCTTAAAACCACCAAAGCAATTTTGTTTTTTTTTAGTAAACTATACTACAAGTTACATGCAGTAATAGTTACACCAAATGTACCCATAATTTTATTTGCTCCTTTCACCACAAGCAAACATGCAGTTGAAAACTTGAGTTTTACAAGAAAATGAAGAGTAAGGTAACAAAAACCAAATCACTTCATCAAGGTCAACACTTGTACAACAAGCCTGCATCTGTGCTACTAAACCTTAGAACTAAATGTATTAACTAATACTTAAGCTAGTTTCTGAAACATTTACATTTCACGACACAAACAAACCAACCATAGGCATATTTCCAAACACTAATCCAGACACCTGTTAGTTCTACGATCCACGATAAACAAGTCCAAAACTTTAAGCTTATGCTCTTACATTAAATTTTTTATTAACTAAAGTAACCTAACTCTGCACTATTCCCAACATGTTGAAATGATTATTCATGGAAGAATAATAACACTACATATAGTGATATAAATAAGGTCTCAGAGTTTTAAACAATCTCAAAATAATCATCTTCTTAAATATTAAATCCCTGTTAAAGCTAAACACTCCACTAAAGATTTCAAAGTTGTTAAGAATCCCACCAAAACCTTTTTTTTTTTCTACAATGCCAAATGCTCTTATCACAAGAAAAATTATTTCAAAAATACAATACCTCAGGAGCATAAGTTACTAACATTGAAACTTGTGTTTATTTATATCCTAGACCCATTAATAATCCTGTTTTTAAAAAAACAAAAACATTCATTACGATCAGCTTTTCCTAACATTAATATATATTTTTGAAAAAATTTAGAAATGCTATTCCCTAAATACACGTAGCTATTTAAATCATTGAAACACATAAAGACTCCAAAATCTCCCAAGGAACATTACCATGCACGTTCTTCAAAATAAAAAAGTTACACTTTATTCTATATTTGACCAGTTTATACTAAATGCAAAAACTAGATTACTACAAGATACTACACTTTCTCCATCATCATATGCAATTCAGTGATCCTAAAAAATTGAAACATGACCACCATCTTGCTGAAGAAAATGTACACATCTGTTTAGCCTGACACATTATGTAAACAGAAATTAAATAATGCAAACTTGAGTAGAGTTCATGATATTCTATTTATATTTACCTATTAAGGTGAAAAATGTTTAGAATGTATATTCTGAATAGTGTAAGTCATACAGTATAAAGTAATATTTTAGAGCTCTAACTTAGAAAATAAGTTCATGGAGCTCAGGAAATTCATTAATGTAGTGCACAATAAATTAGTTTTTACAAATTTATCCAACAACTCAATTAGGTTTCCATACTTTTTTAAGTTAAGTACTACATGCCAATCCTTTCATTTGAAACTTGTTACCTCAACTTAAGTCTGTGATATAACCTAATATATCATCATTCTTTAAATTGAAATTATGCTTTAAAATAAAAATAAAAAACTTAAATAAGTTGATCATAAAGACAAAAAGTACTTCTGATTTCTGTACTAATGAATGATAATAGGCTAGTGAACAGTGGGGATAGGATAAAGCTGCACCTGAGGTTTTTAAAATTTACATTAACATTGGATGTGAAGTTTGAGGTATGTGAACCTTGAGATTATAATAACCTATCTCTAGTGTTCCAATATGTGGGGAAGGAAAATCCATCTTTTCTGTCTTCCCAATAAACCTTTTATCTTGTAATTTGTATATTGCACCATACAATGTTGGTTATTATTTTTATCAAGATTTGTTCTAAAATCAAGGTGCCTTTTTAAAATAAGTGCATACAACAGCAGTGTTCTTAAGGCTAAGCTGATAATCTGTACTTTGTCCAGAGCTGAGAAAAATTCAATTTCAATTATCAGTACCTCCAATTTTTTTTAGAAATCTTAATAACAGAAACTTAGAAATTAGTTTTTATGAAACAAAATTATACTTCCAGTGAAAAGGTTTACCAGAAATTTTGATGTCTTTATTATTTAATTCATTAGGAAGAAAGAGAAGTAATGGATTTTTTAATCACGAACTCAGCTTCACTTGTTAATTTCAATTCAAGGTTTAGCTTTAACTTTTAAGTTTTAAGTTTTACATCATTGCCTGTCTTCACACAATGTCAACAAATATAATCGATTTAAAAATTAAATATAACTTTCAAGTTCAAGACCGAAATACTGGCGTGACTTTACTATCACACTCGCAGCTGTAGTATTGAACTACTTCTTTACGTACCACTAGCAGTTTCAAGTAAAAGTTAAAACTTAAAGTACTCAGCTAGTAATAAAATCATTTGGGGGCTGTAACTTCACACGCCCATCATCATCATCCATACACTTTTGTACAGATATCTAAGTACCAGCCCTGGCATGACCGATGGTATTAGAAAAAATGTTTAACTTTAACTGAAATAAAGATAAAACGTAGTTTACTCATATTGGTAAAAAAATACTCACCTTTGGTCTGTAAAACCATTTCCGTAAAGAGTACATTGTCCCAGTTTCACTATCTCTAGTACTTGTAAATGTAATACTTTACAGATGAAATTTAAACGTATAAAACGAATTATTTTGCCCCACAGTAGGGTTAAATATATAACAAAAAGCGAGTACAGTTAATGTACAAAACCCATGTTTTATAATTCTATCATATACAACATCAAAACCTGCAACTGCGTAAACTTTGAACACAATCCAGTCTATGCCACAGATAATATCAGGCCTAAGGATTAAGGTAGCGCTTCCTGTACTTTAACGCCTGCGCAATGCAACAATGCTGCGAGTGACGTAAAGTGACGATATTATAGACCTTTATTTGGGGTTATGATAATCGTAGTTTTTTTTAAACTTCGGTTGGCGTTGCCAAAAATGGTTTGTACACGTTTCTCTGTTAACAACATAACATGAAAACGCATATTAACTAAACGTAATAGCTTGAGGTTTTCTCTCCATTTTATTATTTAAGTCACAAACGCTTGATCACGATACGAGTAAATGTTTTGAGGTTCATGGATACGGTTTCAAACTGTAGTACTTTTTAACCTGGGCCAAAGCGTAGGCATTCCTTCATGCAGTTATAGAATCCTGTCGCAGAACGTTTGTCAGTGCGTAGTCCAGATGTCATGATATATATAATACAATTAATACTAATATTAACGATGTTTTTGAGCCCTCACAAACATCTGAACAGGGTATGGAAACACCCAGCCTCAACAATGTGCTCGATTTTATTTAATTATGCAGGGCATATATAGTGTTGCGTCATCGAGTCACATGACTACTGTGACGCAACGTTCCTAGAACTATCATGTACTTTGGCGAATGTTCTAGTTCTTACTAGATATAGGGTAGGCTGGTATATAAAAGAGGGGAATGTAATGTCTCGGTAGATAGTGAGTAATTTGAACTGCAGTTAGAGAGCACGAGAGACGTTACAGCGTTTGTTTAGCGCGATTGTTGAAGTTGAGTGTATTGGTAAAGTTATATTCGGAAATAATAAACCAGTTTTATTAAGAAAGAACTTGTGTCGCTTAAGTTTCGTCGGAACGAAGTTACGGAAAGTTAATTAACAAACGGAGACGTAACAATATCAATAATGAATAAATT